CTATTTGAGCCCTTGCTATCAGCTCCTTTACTTGCTCTTTTTTTTTTTTTTAATAATTTTACTGGGGGCTCATACAACTCTTACCACAATCCATCCATCCATCCATCGTTCTGTGAAACGCATTTGTACATTTGTTGCCCTCATCATTCTCATGCTTGCTCTTTTTCAAGTTACAATGAACCCATTAATTTTGCTCTCTGCGTCTGTCCACTCTTGCTTGACTCCTAGACAGGTGATCAATGAGTTTGGGGCCTTTAACGATGGACTGGGACGTCCACTCAGGGCTGCTTTGAGGGGAAGCAACTTCAGTTTCTCCGTAGGCCTGCTGGCTGAATAAAGACTTCTAAAGGTCAAGACATGATAACGGCTGGCAGTTATTTGAACCCGCAACAGTATTCCAAGGATTTAGAGGGAGTACTTCGAAAGGAGCAGGAGAAGCAAACATCCCTTAAGGTGAAGGACAAGGGACTCGAATGTTCTGAGATAAGTGCACTTTACCTGCGTCTGTGAGAAGTCAGGCTCTGTAGGAGACAACTTTATTTAAGCATCTATGGGGGGCAGATGGGCTGCGGAGAAACATCCTTCCTGGAATGTTGGGTATTGAGGTGCTCTTCCCTATCTCGGAGGGGGTGTGGGAAACTGCGGAGGTGTCCCTCACATTAGGGACCGCCCTGTGGTCATGCGTGCTGGGAGAGGCCACCAGCACTCCCTTCAAAGTCCTCAGTTTCCCACATTGTTTTTTCTCAACTCTGTGAAGAAGAACATGTCTTGTGTTTGGAGATCGCTGGCTCCTGAAGAGAAACGAGCTGGGGGACACTGACCAGGACTTTTTGTTCTGGATTTTTCTAAATTGCTGTTTTTATTTGACTCATTCCAAATTACTGAGAAGTTTGAAGAACAGTACAAGGAAATTCCTAGATAAGTTTCACTCAAATTCAACAATGATCAACATTGGTAATATTTTGCCTAATTTCCCATCATTCCCACTCTAATATTGTTACATATGTCCCTATGTCTGGGGACCAGGACAAGTACATGGCAGACAGATCTCTTTCCGTCTAAATCAGCAGTTCTCAAGCTGTGGGTTGTGACCCCTCTGGGGGTCAAACGACCCTTTCACAGGGGTCGCCCGATTCATAACAGTAACAAAATTACAGTTATGAAGTAGCAACAAGAATAATTTTATGGTTGGGTGGGGGGTCACCATGACATGAGGAACTGAATTAAAGGGTTGCAGCATTAGGAAGTAATGTTTACTTGTAAAGAATGAGGATATTCTTTTTTTTTTTTGAACTTGGCACATGTTTTTATAAACTCCTGTGGAGATACAGGGTTACATTCAGGAAACAGCACTGTGGAGGTCGATGGCATTCCGTGGAGACTATCTGTGGTCATGGCGTTAAGAGCTCTTGATCTCAGTTCCACAAGGCCGCTTTGAAATGACCTGACTTTCAAGTGCGCTCACCTTTGTAAGGAGCCACCATTGTCTAGTAAGCATTAATCTCAGACCTGTTAATTCTTCTGGTTACACCACTTTAACCTCCATTATGGACAAATGTCAAACATTTCATGCCTGAAAATTCTGTTAAGAAGGAGGATATTCTTATACAACTAGGGCACTGTTGTCAAGTTCAGGGAATGGAACAACTGAAGTCAATAGTACTATTTTTTTTTTTTAACATTTTATTAGGGGCTCATACAACTGTTATCCCAATCCATACACACATCAATTGTGTAAAGCGCATTTGTACATCGTTTCTCAAAACATTTTCTCTCCATTTAAACCCCCGACATTAGGTCCTCATTTTTCCCCTCCCTCCCCGCTCCCCCCTCCCTCATGAGCCCTTGATAGTTTACAAATGGGTATTTTGTCATCTCTTGCCCTGTCCGACTTCTCCCTTCATCCACTTTTCGGTTGTCCGTCCCCCAGGGAGGAGGCCACACACAGTTCCATGCAATTGGTTCCCTCTTTCCTACCCACTCTCCCTCCACCCTCCCTGTTTTGCCACTCACACCACTGGTCCTGTAGGGCTCATCCATCCTGGATTCCCTGTATTTTCAGTTCCTATCTGTACCAGTGTACCTCCTCTGGTCTAGCCAGTCTTGCAAGATAAAATTCGAGTCATGGTAGTGGGAGCGGGGAGGAAACCTTTAGGAACTAGAGGAAGGTTGTATTTCTCATCATTGTTACATCGCACCCTGACTGGCTCATCTCCTCCCCGAGACCCCTCTGCAAGGGGATCTCCAGTGGCCTACTAATGGGTTTTGGATCTCCACTCCACACTCCCCCCATCATTCACTATGGTAAGATTTTTTGTTCTGATGATGCCTTACACCTGATCCCTTCGACACCTCGTGGTTGCATAGGCTGGTGTGCTTCTTCCATGTGGAATAGTACTATTTTAATCTGCATTCCAAATTACTCTCAACCCCATCCTGTTTTTGCTAGCCATTTTCTTAGAAGATTCTTGTTTAATGAACAGGGTCCAAGGGCAATCCTGATCCTGCACCTTTGCCAAGGACAATCCACAGCTGTCCCTAATGTGAGCGACACCTCCAGTTTCCACACCCCCTCCGAGATAGGGAAGAGCACCTCAATACACAACATTCCAGGAAGGATGTTTCTCCGCAGCCCATTTCTCCAGCGGCCACCTCACAATGGGCCCTGTTCCCTAGGTTTTATGCCCCAAGAACTGGGGTGAGGCAGCGTGTTGGGAGGAGACTCCTGGAAACAGGATGAAGGGAGTGGAGAGAGAGGCTAGGGCAGTGGAAAAGCCCGGAAGTGTGTTTGTGAGCAACTGGAGATCTGTTGTGGGGACTGCTACAGAATCTTGTGGGATGGGCGACGTCACCCCTCTGGACAACAGGCAGGCTGGGGCATTCACCCAGTGCCTCCTTTCCCCCATGGGTTGAGAGTTGCTCACGAGGTCATCAACCCACCTTCCACAGTTCCCCCAAAGCCCTCCAGCTCAAGAGGGCTCCGCTCCAGCAGCTTCTCAGCCTCCTGGGAATCCTCTGGACTGGAGGGTCACGGGATGGGCATATTCATGAGCAGTGCCCCAAACATGGATTACATAATCCACGGAATCATCGAAACAGCCCCATGAGGGAGGCGCTCGTATGATGCCCATTTCATGGACCTGGGAAAGGAGGCACCAAGAGGAAACCAGACCATGCTGTTGCCATTTGTTAAAGCTGGGATGCCAAGGCAAGCCTCCAGGCTCCACGCTTCCCTCACACCAAGCATTCCCTTCTCTCATCTTCCCACTTGGTAGAGCCCCCGGGGAGTCAGGATGCCCATTCTGGGGGGAACTTGCTCACTGCATGTGTAGCCCTGCCCCCACACACCCATCCTGAGAAACAAGGGCTCACAAGCATGGGCACAGTCAAGTGGAGAGGTGGGAGATGTGGTTGGATAGGTAATGGCTTTCACTGCGATGGAGCCAGGTCAGGGCTAAGAGACTGAAATCCATGAGCAAGGGAGCCAAGGTCCTGAGTACTAACCAGAGACAAAGCTGAAATAGAAGGTAGGAGCAAGCAGCCCAGGGCCCATACTCTGGGGCACCTGTGATTCTAGAGGGGACTTGGCACCTCTCCCTTTGCCCACATTGGCCCTCCCACTATTAGTATATTTCACACTCGATAATAGTGAGGGGTTTTTTGGGGTGGGGTGGGGGTGCTGGTCTTATGCAGGCTTACTGAGAGTCAACATAGGAGTCCTGGTGGTGCAGTGCTTAGGAGTTGGATTGCTAACTGCGAGGTTAGCAGTCTGAAACCACCAGCTGCCCTGCTAGTCTCCAAAACCCACAGGGACAGTTCTACCCTGCCCCAGAGGGTCAAGATGCATCTGAATGGACTCAGTGGCGGTGTGCTGGATTTGAATATGAGTCAACCTTGAGTCAATGGCAGTTTGATACTTATTTGGGGACCCCAGTCCCCCACTGAAATTAGGACAGCCTATGTTTTGCTTCTGATTGTCCCTTGGGACTGTGGCCTGGATTAAGGTCATCTTCATTCCCACAACTATATGTATTCATGTATTTCCCACTGCTTTACCTGTTGGGGTATAATTCAGATAAGATCCTGGAGCGGGTCTTGGACAAGTCCATACAGGGACACCGGACAGAAGACACCTGATTTTGACCCTCCATGACTGTATTAGTCTAGGTACTTTGGAGAAACAGCAACTCATGTATGATTTTTATGTAAAGAAAATGTGCATCACGAAAACATCCCAACCCAATGGTGCCCAAGCCCACAAGTCCAACATTAACCCAACACCAGTCCACAAAGTCCTCCACCTCACAAAACAGAGGCAACGATGCCGACTGCAGGAGGAAAGCTGAGTCAGTGAACGAATAAGCATCTCAGCACTAGCAGGGGTCTCCACACGGCTGCTCCAGCACCCAGGGCTGCATCGGGATAGGTCCATGTAGCTTCTCCTTGGGGATGTCTTGTAGGAAGTCAACCTTGCAAGCTGAAGCAGGGAACTGCTAAGGCAGCTGCACCCTGGTGCGACCATCACAAAAGAGACCGGAGAACTAGAAAGGCGAGGCTCACCACCCATTTAGCCCTCTGCCTTTCAATTAGCCCCACATGTGATTATTGGCCAGGTTGGCACAATTAACTAACTCAATGACCTTATTGATAAAAATCTCAGGGGGGGACTCATATCCCCAAGGTTTGAGAAAAGAGAAATTTCCAGATTCTGGAAAGGATTTGAAGATCCCTACTCAGGGGCTACCTGCCAGGCCACGTCAGTCTGACCACTTCCTCTCCTTTCTGTATACACTCCATGAAGGAGTCCTTTGGGATCTCTTTGGGGTTAGGCAAAGATTCCTGAAGCTTCCCAAGCCTAGGAACTTTGCTGACCTGTAGGGAGGGCCTCAGAGGGGAAGAGGCAGATCTCTACACCCATCCCCTCCCAGAGGGGCATTTCCAGATGTTGGGTGTCTCTAAAACTCCCCCAAGCACATAACATTCTGAACACCACCAAAAAGGAGTATGCACATCTTTAAATTTATTCCTTTTGCTCAACGGTCCTGGTTGTGTGTGTCTGTGCAGAAGTCAGAGGTACCCTCAGAACCCCCATGGAGGGGTCTTGAATTGGTCAGCTGGGCTGAGAGATCCCTAAGTCCTCTCTGACAGGTCCTGGTTTGTCACAATGAATGGGGGGCGGTGTTCCAAAGAGGGGTTCCAGGCTTCTCCCCATGTATGGGGGTATCTTGGGGAACTCCTTTCCAACAAAAGTCTGCTCTTCTCGGGGAAAGGAGAATCCCTTGGGAAGCCAAGGGGTGGTTTTGTGCTCAGGCATCATGAGAGACGTTGTCTCTGCTTTTCCGCCCACAAGGGAGGCAGCCCTGCTTCCCAAGCCCTCGGGTAAGGTGCGCTAGGCCTGACACGGTGCGGGCAGCCTGCCCCAAACCCTCAAGTAGGGAGTCGGATCCTCAACTAAGCAGCCGACTTCTCAGGTCCACTGGCCTCCGTCGCTCGATTCCCACACAGCGAAGCTCTTAGGACGGCTAACCTCTCATTAGGCGCGTTCCGCCCACCCTCGCAGTCAGGGGCGGCCCCACAACCGGCTCCATGGACTGGGGCTCATCAGGCGGTGTCTCCAGGGTTCTCGCGCCTCCGAGGTGGCTTCCTCGCCTGGTCACTTCCGTCGGGCAAGGCCCCCAAGGCGGCAGGCTCCCCGGGCGGGTCCATCGGCCGCACGAAGGCGCCCAGGGACTTGGCGTGAGCCGAGCGGAGCAGCAGCAGCTGGCGCCGCCCGCGGCGGTACAAGTACTCGATGCGCAGCACGTCGGAGCGCGGCAGGCAGGCGTTCTGTCGGAACTCGGCGCGCACCCGGGCCTCGGCGCCCGGCTTCCCGCGGCCGGCGCGCAGCAGCTCCCGGTACAGGCCTAGCACTTGCTTCTGCAGTCGGCTGTGCTGGCTCATGGCGGCGGGGCACGGCGACCGGGCACCACCCACTTCCCAGCCGGCGGGGACCGAGCGAGGGTCGCGGGAGCGAGAGCCACGGACCAGACGCCCCCACTCGGTGCGACCCTCCTCCCGGAGGCGCCGCTCCGCCCCTTCCGGAGCCCCGCCCCGCTCCTTCCGGCACGCTCTCGTCCCATTGGCTAAAGAGGCCGTTACGGCACAGTATAAAGAGGCGTTACGGCACAGTGGGCGGGATTATGAGCGGAACCTGAGCTTTGCTATTTTTTTTAACCCTCCGCTTCCGTAGGAAATCGGTGTCCTTGAGGGGACCTCTGGAAACACCTTGACCTGCGTCCCAGAGAAGAAGCGGGTCCTTTAGACCTTGGGTCTTGACCTCACGCCTGGGTGCCCGAGGAGCAGCTTCCTAGGGCCAGGCAAAGAAAAGTCGGGCCCACCCACGTTTTGTCATTATTTATTACTAGCCTCTCGGGAAGCGCCAGGCGTTCCTTGTCCCCGGGCAGGTCCGAATCTGAGGGGACCGGTTCTGAGGAGAAAACTCCGGGGGGTCACGACCGGCCGGATCATTCGTCGGTGCTCTGGGGAGATGCATACAAGGTGTGGGCGCCAATATATATAATATAATATTTATATAACAATGTTATGAGTGACATATCTCAAATTTCTATGAATAATATAGTATTGTTTTATAATATAGTATTGTTTTATAATATAGTATACGCCGTAGCCCTGGTGTCATAGTGGCTTAGGCATTGGTCAGCAGTCCCAAGCCAGCAGCCGCCCCTTGGGAGAAAGACGAGACTTTAGACTCTCATGAAGAGTGGCAGCTTCAGAAACCCACAGGGGCAGCTCCCCCCTGCCCTACAGGGTCACTTTGAGACAGAATCAACTCGAAGGCAGTGAGTTCTAGTAGTATATTCTTCATGTAATGCAATTTTATTGGTAGTTTAGTATACTGTCGCCTAATTTATGTTATATACTACGTTTGCATACATTTTGTGAACATTTTACAGAACTCACCAATATTGTAAATATTTTGCATTGCTCATGTTATTTTAGAATCTTACATAATAATTGCTAGTTAATTCTCACAACTCTAACAAGGAAAGTAAAGCACTGAGAAGTAATAATATACCTTGCCCAGGTTCATGCCCTTGATAAATGTCAAAGCCAGGTTTCAAACCCAGAGGATCTGGGCCCCAGACCTACGTTGCTGTATATACTGCCTCTTCTGATAAAAATAAATGTACTTCCAAGAGGAATCACAGTTTACATGTATTGAGCACTAGGGTGCGCTGTGGGCTAGGCATTGAACTGAGAACTCTAAGGTTGAAGGTTCGAGAGCACCAGCGGTTCCACAGGAGACAGATGAGGCTTTCTGCTCCCCTAAAGATTTGTTTCCTCAAAACCCCACAGGAGCAGTTCTACTCTGTCTGATAGGGTCGCTGAGACAGAATATGAGGGGGTTCCCCCCACCAAAAAAAAACAACGGATAAAAGCTCTACTGGGTGGAGCTTTCATAGTAAGCATCCCACCACGCTCACCCCCCCCGCCCCCCACCCCCCTAGGCGAGCATGGAGCAACTCATTCTGAGTGCACCCAGTGGTGTTGCCTGGGAAGAGTCTCTCAGGTCACAGTGATATTTTTCTTAAAAGCATTTTCTCTAAAACCTTGTTTTTTTGTGATGGCCAATTTAAGAGAACAGCGTGTAGCTGTGAAATTTTGTTTCCTACTTGGGAAAAATGCCGCAGAATATGTGTTGTTGAACACAGCTTACAAGGACAGCGCTATGGGAAAAATTAAAGAGTACGAGTGGTTTTCTCTTTTCAAAAAAGGTGAAATGTCATTTGATGACAAACCTTGTTCTGGATGTATGTCAATTTCCCGAACTGAGGAAAATGTTGACTCTTAGTGCATTTGGAGTTCGTTTCACCAGGTCAGACTGTTAATCAAGCTTTCTATTTAGCGGTTCTGAAAAGATAGTGTAGTCGTGTGTGATAAAAAAAAGCCTGATTTGTGGCCGACGGGGGACTGGTTTTGCCACCACGACAATGCACCTGCTCATGCAGCCATCTCAGTGTGCCAATTTTTGCCCCAAAAAAAGCATGCCTCTCTTGCTCCAGGCACCTTACTCATCAGCCCTTGCTCCATGCGACTTCTTTTTGTTTCCGCAAATGCAGAGGGGCATGAAATGACAGTGATTTGACGACGAGGTGAAGAAAAAAATGAGGGAGCTGCTGTCAGCCGTCCAAACAGATGAGTTTGAAAACGGTTTCAGAGGATGGAATCGCAGATTTGACAAATGTATTGAGTGTCATGGAGAGTAGTGTGAAGGTGATACGGTTGTTTTGTTAAACAAAATACATAGCTTTTGGCGGGGGATCTGTTTTTTTGTGGGGGTAACCCCTTGTAGACTCGATGGCAGTGAATTTGATTTTGTTTGTTGGATATGCGGCTGAAAATATTCATATATTTTCTGTGAAGAACATAAATGCTTCTGATGTTTTCTGTGGATAAGCACACTGAGGCACGGAGAGAGGCTAGGTTACTTGTCAAGCTCCCACAGAAGTTTAAGAAGCCCGGGTTTGAAGCGAAGGCGCTGGCTTAGCTTCTCTACCACGTGCTGATTGTTTGGCCCTTCTCCCTGGATCAGCCCCTATTTCTGCAATAAGCCTTGAACTCACAGCTGTTCTAACTTCTCAGTGTAAGAGCTTAGATTCCTCCTGCCCCTTGATGGAAGGACTATCCATTTGCCTGCTCAGATTCCATTTCTCCTGCTGCTGGCCTGCCCCATGGTCCTTGGGGAATCCCAGGCTACTGGCATCTCCCCTGAATTCCCAACCTCTCCCTGTCTGACCTCTCTCTACCATCACTGAAACTCCCTACCCCAAGTCTCTCCTCTCTCAACAATGCGAATGATAAATCCAGTCCAAGTTACTCCTGCCCATGCGTGACTTTCACTCTCCCCTTTCTGCACAGATAACTGTCAGATGCCTTCTTTGCCCTGCTGTCTCTCGGTGCTCACTCTTCACAACTCCTTGGGCTCTGAGGGAGCAAGTCCATTTTTGAGCAACACCACAGCCTCACCCTCTAGTCCCTCCCCTCTCCATGCCACGTTCCTCCCTGCTTCCTTCCCCTGCCTAATGGCAGGTCGCAGCTCACTTGTCACCTCCTTCAGGAAGTGCAGCTGTCCTGGTGTAGTGGCTGTAAGTTGAGCTGCAATCTGTAAGGTCAGCAGTTTGAAACCACCAGCAGCTCCTCGGATGAAGATGGGGCTTTCTAGTCTTGTAGATAGTTACAGTCTCAGAAATTCACTGGGCAGCTCCACCCTGTCCTGAAGGTCGCTATGAGTCGGCATCCACTCAATGGCAGGGAGTTTGGGGTTTTCAGGAAGTCTACCCTGAGCTTCTAAGCCAGGGAATCCACTTGGGGGTACTCACTGTCTGTTGCTGATGTTCCGTGCAGAGCCGCACTGCTCCACTGCCTTCTCAAAGGTGTGCCTTTCAGAAGGGGAGCACCCAGCCTGTCTTCCGAGCTGCCCTAGGCTATGTTGAACTGTCAACTTTTGGGCTAGCTAATAGTCAAGCTCCACCTAGGGACTCCTCACTTCGTCCCCCACCCCAGCCCAGCCTGTGGGCCACACCCTTGGCTTACTGGGTAGTCCCTAGGAGTTCAGCCGGTCTTGGGTTTCATGGGGGGACCTGAGATACCTAGGGTGATGTAGAATCAGGGAGTCGTGAGAGATCAGGCCTAGGACACTAAGGCAATGGAGGGCACCGTGAGGTCAAAGGATCATAGGAGAAAAGTTCAGCATTAGAAGGTTCTGGAGGGACAGTGGGGGCTGGTGGGGATGTCAGTAAGCCCCAGAAATTGAGACTAACACTAACCATGTAATGCCATCGTGTTGACTGCTGAATGACCTGCCTCCTTCCCCCTCCCATCTTGGAAAGTCCCACGAGTGATTGATTTTAAAATGTAACCTTATGTTCTTGAGATCAGAACACTGTAATTAATAATAGTGTTCCTTTTGATGTTGTAACCAGGATATCACTATTTTTATTTTATTAACCAGGATGTTATAATCAATGCTGAACCCTGTAATGCTTACTAACTCTAAAGAATAATAATATTAATTTTGGTTTCTGCTTCTGTCCATGCTTGCTTAAGTCTTAGACTTATGATAAATGAGTTTTTACCTTTAAAGATGGGCCGAAATGTCCACTCAGGACTGCAATCAAAGAATCGCTTTTGGATTCTAGCAGTCCGGTTATAACCGCATACTCTTCTAAATTATCAAGACATTTTCATGGCTGCCACTTATTTGAACCTGCAACAAGATCAATGCCAGGTGATGCATGGGTCTTGGCCAGGATTGGGGAAGTCTCTCACGCACATTCCCTACTTGTGTCCCATGGCTACACAGCCGTCCTTGAAGCTGACGATCACCCGTGGATGGAGGGCACGGCAGCCAGGACGGGCAGGAAGTCAGCAATGACACGGAACCAGTCTGGATCATGGGACCCTGCACTCACCAGGGTGGCTAGCTCATAGGCAAAGGGCATGGCAGGGATGGGAGCAAAGCCACTGAAGCCATTGAAAGTGGTAAAGAGGCCCCCGGACACTAGACAACAGGTGGCACCCTCAGGGGACTCACATCACCACACCCCCCCATCCAGGATGCAGCCTGTGCCCAGTGGCCAGGAGAAGGGTTGGCACTGGAGTCTCTGGCCTTGTGGGCACACACAGCGCTCCCAGGAGCCAGCCAGGCAGACGCATAGAGACAGATGCACAATCAGGTGCAAAAACCCTCATAAACAATGCCAACAAACAAAACACAGATCACAACACATCCCCAAGGACTAATTTCCAGAATACCAGGCAAAAAAAAAAAGCTCTGCTGCAGACTCACAGCCACCTTCATGAAACAGAAAGATAAACATGTGAAGCTATTGTTTCCTGACATAACCTCCACCCAAGTCTATATACTTCTGAAGGGAGTGCGTCTACCCCTCGAGTTCTCTAGAAGGAGCCCTGGTGGCACCTGGTTCCATGTTAGGCTGCTAAGCTCCAGGTCAGTCGTTGGAA